GAGGCTCCCAGTGCCCGCAGCAGAGGGCAGGCAGAAGTAGAGGTGGACTCCTGACACTGGAAGCAGAGTGTGCTGGCTGCTCAGGCTGAGAGGGGCTGCGGCCAGAGGCAGGTTTGTCTCTAGGGGAGCACCCCTTAGCTGGGAACTGGGCCTCAGTGTAGGCACTCATCCAGGAGGCCAGAACAGCTCAGACACCATCCTTGTCAGACCACCCTCCTTTCCTGCTTTGTAGCCCCAGGGTACCCCAGTCCTAGCCTGGATACTAGGATCTGACTTCCCCAAGAGACTCAGCCCCCCCCCTTCCCCCCCCCCCCAGATCTTCCTCTGCAAGTGTCTTTGGCTGTGTTCTCAATTTTCCCTTCTCCTACACTTCATCCTTAATATAGGATTTTGGGCATGAGTCTTCTTCTGTTTATCTGTCCATCTGTCTCCCTGGCCCTCCTTCCTTGGGCTCCCCTTCTCGGCCCCCAGTGATTGTATTCAGTTCCCAGTGATTGGTGTCTGTCACCTCTCCCCTCAGCTAACCTGTGCCAGATTCCTGAGACACTACGGTCTCTGTGCTGATTGTACAAGCATGGTTTCTTTTAATCCTCAAACAACTGTATAAGGTGGGTCTCACTCCCTGAAACACACCAGGCACATTGTGGCCTCAGTACCTTTGCACTGCCCCTGTTTTGGCTCCTCCTGTGACTCCTTTCCTCACCCCTTTTGGTCTCTCTTCAGATATCCCCTTGTCATTTGATCTTCTCTGACCATCCTATTTGAAATAGCTCCCTCGCCACCATACACCTTCTCTTTTTCTCTGTAACATTTAAACTGTCTGATGTGCTCTGTATTTTACTTATTTGTAAATAGTTCCCTTAGTTCCCTTCATTCTAATGAGCCAGCGGTGTTTGGGTTTTCTCCTGCTGTCCCCACTGTATCTGGTACATAGTCTGTGCTCAGTTTTCCATTTTATAAATGAAGACCCTAAGGCTAGGAGAGGCTAAGAAATCCACACAAATTCTCATAGGATGGTAGCAGAGCCCAAGTTGAACCCAGAGTGTGACCTTACATTTCCTCAAGGATAGCCGTAGGGTGGGTTGGTGGAGGAGGCTGGTAATAGGGCTGACCATCTAGTTGGAATACCTGAGCTTTGGAGATGGGAGGGTGCCCTATAGGACACAGTGGCCAGCATGTGTCTGAGGAGGCCCAGGGGAACGGAGGTCTTCCTGTGTCCTCCCAGCTGGCAGGAAAGAAGCTGCCACCAGGAGAGCCAGGTCACACCAGCAGTTTTGTGCTGGGGCAGTTTTGATTTCCAGCAGAATCCATAACCTAAGGAGAGGGTTGATGGCATCAGCCCCCCACCCCGACCCCCTGGTAGAAACGTGAGCAAATCCCTTTGTCTGGGCCTGAGTCCTTTTTTTCTTTACCTTTTTCTTTTCTGTTTTGTGATACTGGGGGTTGAACCCAGGGGTGCTGTACTATATCTCAGCCCCTTTCATTTTTTTTAATTTTGAGACAGGGTCTCACTGAATTACTGAGTCTGACCTTGAACTTGCAATCCTCCTGCCTCAGCCTCTCGAATCTCTGGGATTACAGGTGTACTCCACCACACCCAGCTCTGTTTCTTCATCTGTAAAAGCAGAAAGGGAGTTTTACTGGATGACTTTTGGATGACCTTTCACTTCTAAAAAGCCAGGATTCTGCAATATCAGAAGCTGCATGCAGGGGTCTCCTGGGAGACCCTCACACCTCATCTCTGTCACCATTTTATTGAGGACCTACTCAATATAAAGCTCATTTATTCCTACAGTGGCACGAGGAGCTGGGTACTAGTTCTGTCCCTGTCTTACATGAAGCCTCCTAGAGAGCACGATTTACTTGGTTGAGGGGCAAGGCCAGGATGAGGAACCCAGGTAACCTGACCCTCAGATGCAGCATCTATCTCAGGGCTCCCTAGCTCTCTTTTTCTCTCAGACTGACAGCACAGGGGCTGGCTGAAGGCAGGCTCAGATACAACTGCCAGCTCTGCAGGATGGCGTTGTGGCACAAGGCCCTGACCCTTAGCAGGCTGGTGGTGCATCAGCCACCTCTTATATGATGCCATTTGTCCTGGGCAGCCCCCATGCAAGGGAATTTGGGGAAAGAAAGCAGTATCCCTGCCCCCTGGGGGAGGCCTGGCCCAAAGCACCAGTTACAGGCAAGTCAACTGCTTAGGAAATAATTGAGTATGGGGAGTAGCTTAGGGGAGAAAAGAATAAAACGGGTCCTGAAGAGGAACTGTAACCTTAGAGTAATGTGGGGGACAGTCCTTCCTGTAAAAGCAAGAGCAAGCTGAGTGCAATGGTGCACGCCTGTAATCCCAGCGGCTCAGAAGGCTGAGGCAGGAAGATCACACAAGTTCAGAGCCAGCCTTAGCAACTTAGCAAGGTGCTAAGCAACTCCACGAGACCCTGTCTCTAAATAAAATATAAAAAAGGCTGGGGATGAGGCTCAGTGGGTAAATGCCCCTGGGTTCAATCCCCGGTTCAAAAAGAGCAAAAGTGAGTAAAGATAGCTAGAGCAGGGGGTTGTTCCCTGACTGAGAGGGTGGGCTGTGCCTACTGGGCTTGAAAGGTTCCCGACCTGCTGCAGGGGCCCCAAGCAGCAGAAGGGAGTGGGAAGGCTCCTTGGCCCTGTGGGCGAGGGACTGGTGGTACTGTCCTTCCTCCATCTCTGCTCCCTGTGCTCTGCCCCTTGGCAGCTCTTCCTGAGCTTGTTTTTCCAAATCACTAATTAACCTACGCTGGACTCCCAGGTGGGACGACTCTCCTGGCTAACTTTCCCTCAGAGAGCGCGCTTGTTTCCCATGCTTCAGAACTGGGACGTGCTGTCCCCACTCGTTCTGCTTCTCGGGGCCAGGGATGAAGCCATGACCCTGGATGCCCAACACTGCCAGGGCCCCCGGCAGGTGCTTCCACCAGCTCATCTCACCTCTGGCAGGCAGAGGCCACAGGCTGGAGCCGTTTTCCTGGGCCCATGTCAGCCTGCACTGTTTTGGCAGCCCATTCCTCAGAGGAGAAAAAATGAGCCCAGCAAAGACACTTGAAATGGACCTTCCCAAGGAGAAGCAGACAGAAGACACTCCAGGCAAAGCTAAAAAGTAAAGGTGTGTCTAGCCCACTCCCTCTCCAGACTTCTCCTTTTATGCTGTTTCTGATCCAAGCTCAAGTGTAAATGAGGTACATCATAGCATGTGATAGGGGATCTGTCCCAAGTCCAAGGTATGCATCCCCAAGGATATGAAATAGCAAGCATGAGACAACTGACCCTGCCCAGTGAAGACAGTGAGATGGGAAGGGAAGGTAGACTCTAAACTGTTTACAGTTCAAGTCTGGTTTGTACCTCTTCTGGGCTATGTGACCTGAGACAAGTATGTAACCTCTCTGATCCTCAGTTCCTCCTGCATAAAATAGGTTGAGGCCTGCCTCCCGCATCCCTGGAAGGATTGAAGGTGGTGACACATACAGAACCCCTAACGGCACCCCAGACATAGAATAGACAGCTGATGGATATCTATGTCCAAAGTTCCCTCAGACTTGCTGCTGCTCTGGAGGCCCTCAGAGTGTGGCTTCTTCTCATTTTCATGGATCCCCCTATGTTCTGCATTGCTGTTTTGCAATGTTAAGAAAAGGGTGTTCCCCTTCCACTTCCAATGCAGATTCCCCAAGATGAAAACCCCTCTGAGAGTCAGGTCTGAATCCTCCTTCAACAGTGAAGGCCATGGCAGGTGGAGTTTGGGAGGGGCGGGCATGGGCTTGCCAAATGGTCCTGGGGACAAGGACCTCTCTCATCCCCTGTTTAGGCTCAGCCCTCTGCTCAGAGAGGAAGCTCAACTCACACACACCAACCAGGACAGGAGGCAGCAAGGGCTGAAGAACAGTCCCCAACAACGGGCTCCCGACAGTGTTGAATGGCATGGCATGAATAACAGATGAAGGCTCTGTAATTGGTGTTATTACACATGCATTTCATCTCCATTCATAATGATCAGACACTTAAGCCCAGCCATTCCTCTGCCAAGTGCCACTGTCGCCATTCTAACTGCCATTCTGGCAGTTGTTGGGATCAGCCACTGCCACTCTGATCCTGGTGGGTACAGTTCATTTTTCTTTGGATCTGAATGTCCCAGAAAATGTCAGTTTGTGGGAAGAGGCAAAACTGGTGATTCTGGGTGGACCATTGCGTCTCCTGCCACAGTGCATGTTGTCTTGTCTTCCTTCTGGGGCTTCCTTGGTATCTGTGATGTCACCTAGGCATCTTGAGGCTGGAAAGAGGAGCTAAGACTGGCTTACGGTGCCTCATGGCTGGAGCTGTTGGCTTGGCTGGCAGAAGGAGTCCTCGGGTCATTCTTTGGGGCCTCCCTTAAAGCAGTGTGCCTCAAACCTATGTGTGCATCAGGATTCCCTGGGAACTTTTACTGAAACAGATTGCTGGGCCCTGGACCCCTGGCGCTTCTCAGTCAGTAGGTTTGGGTGGGGCCTGCAATTTGCATTTCTAACCAGTTCCCAGGGACTTCTTGCTTCTGGTCCAGGAGCTGTCTTCTAGGACCACTGCTCTGGTTACTGTGGCCTTTCCTGAGTGCTTGTGGGAAAGGCAGAACTGCAGGTCCTTCCCCAAGCTCCGTGAGACAGAATCATATTGAGACAGGATTTGAAGCTGGTCTGGACACCCATTACAGTTCGACAAGCCTTAAAGGGATGGGCAGAGCTGTCCCAGGCAGGGCCAGGCAGCTGCAGTTCCATGACTGCTGCTTCCACACAGCAGCCTCTGTCTGCTGGGTACCATGACAGATTAGGAAGCTGAGACCCTCTGAGGAGAGAATTCCAGCCTCTGACTCTGCCTGAATGCCCCCTCTTGTTTAACACACTGCCTGGTGCCCTGTGTGCGCACCTTCCACGAACAGAGGTCCCTGTCCCCAGTGGGGCTGTCCATCCCTGTCTTGATTGCTGCTCCTGGCTCTCGTCCCCTGCCCACAGGTGGTAGCATTCGCCTCCCTCTTCTTCATCCTGGTGTCCATCACCACCTTCTGCCTGGAGACTCACGAGGCCTTCAACATCGACCGCAACGTGACGGAGATCCACCGGGTGGGGAATATCACCAGTGTGCGCTTCCGGCGGGAGGTGGAGACGGAGCCCATCCTCACCTACATCGAGGGCGTGTGCGTCCTGTGGTTCACACTGGAGTTCCTGGTGCGCATCGTGTGCTGCCCCGACACGCTGGACTTTGTCAAGAACCTGCTCAACATCATTGACTTTGTGGCCATCCTGCCCTTCTACCTGGAGGTGGGACTGAGCGGTCTGTCGTCCAAGGCAGCCCGCGATGTGTTGGGTTTCCTGCGCGTTGTGCGCTTCGTGCGCATCCTGCGGATCTTCAAGCTCACGCGTCATTTTGTGGGGCTGCGCGTGCTGGGCCACACGCTCCGCGCCAGCACCAACGAGTTCTTGCTGCTCATCATCTTCCTGGCCCTGGGCGTGCTCATCTTTGCCACCATGATCTACTACGCCGAGCGCATCGGTGCCAGGCCCTCTGACCCACGGGGCAATGACCACACCGACTTCAAGAATATCCCCATCGGCTTCTGGTGGGCCGTGGTCACCATGACAACACTGGGCTACGGGGACATGTACCCCAAGACGTGGTCGGGCATGCTGGTGGGGGCGCTGTGTGCACTGGCCGGAGTGCTCACCATCGCCATGCCTGTGCCGGTCATCGTCAACAACTTCGGCATGTACTACTCCCTGGCTATGGCCAAGCAGAAGCTGCCCAAGAAACGGAAGAAGCATGTGCCACGGCCACCCCAGCTTGAGTCACCCATTTACTGCAAGTCCGAGGAGACCTCGCCCCGGGACAGCACCTACAGCGATACCAGCCCCCCTGCCCGGGAAGAGGGTGTGGTGGAGAGGAAACGGGCAGGTGAGTAGGGACTGGGATGGAGGGTCTCTCTTCTCTCCATGGTTGAGGCAGTCCCCAGGTCCCCTTGGAATTAGAGGCTTTGCTTTAATATGAGTATAAGATGTCCTTTATGAAGACAAAGTATCAAAGCCGACTTCATCCTCTTGCTTTCTGAATTTCCTGAACAATGGGGATCTGTGGGATCAGTATTCCACCCGGTGTACACTGGGCTTGGTACTGTGCTTGGGTGTGTATATTGAAAGCCGTGGTTTCTGATCCCCTCCTAGCTGCTGTGCTGTGTGCCAGTGTCATATCCTCTCTGGGCATAGATTTCTCTGTAAAATAGGAGTGATATATCAATATTCTACCCCTAAGACCCTGATGAGATCCAAATGATAGGTATAAGAGCACTTTGAGAAGTTAAAACCACTTTACTAATGTCAGGAGCTGTCATTATTAGCCAAAGAGCAGACAGCTGTTCTTCCAAGGTGCATCAACACATGAATCACTTCTTTCCAAACATTCAAGTCTGGTGTGTCTTGGCCTAATAAATGCGATAACGTAACAGCAGTGGGAGGCTGCCTTCTGTTCAGCACAAGCTAGATTGAGTCCCAGGCTCAGGGTTGAACATGGGATGGAAGAGGACTGAGGAAGGAGAAGCCCAGACAGTCTTGGGAAGCAGACGAAGATGGAACAAACTGGTATCTGCATTCGGAAGGATCTCTGTGCCCTGTCCTTCAAGGATTGAGAAGGCCAGAGAGCTCACTTTCATCTGGGGTGGACCAGGATGGGAAAGCATCTCCATCTCCAGCAACCTGGAGTTAGGCTGCAGGGCATTGGCACCTGATAGTCAGGATGCCTGGGCTCCTGGGGGAGATGTGGGATGCCTAGTGTAGGGGGGCTATTGGATGCTGGGGCCCCAGGGACTGATTTGGGCCAGAGATTGAGGCAGCAGCTCCTGGCTAACCTCTGGGACAAAGCAAGATTCATCCTCCATGGAGGTACCTGAGTGGGAACAATCACCTGTGGCCTTTGGGCATGTGCCCATCATGGGCTTGGGTTTTCCTTTATAGAAGACCCTGATAGAACAGCACCCACCAGGTTCCCCTCCCCGCCCACCAGCATGGTACCTGCTTCTTGACCCTGAATGTAAGTCTTTCAGGGGTATCAGTTGTACTCCAAGGCCCCTGCTAGGCTCAGAGCCAATCCTCACATCCAAACATGGAGAGGTTCTTAGGGGGGCTCCTCGGTTGCACTTCACCGAAGCCCTGTCAGCCACACCTTTAGCTGCCCATGATGGCTAGTTACATCAATGGCTTGCTTGGCCAGTGGCCAGGCCACTGTCTTCAGACCTCACTTCTCTGTATCCAAGGGCCCAGATCACCTGTACTAGTTACTCCCTTACCAAGGCAAGGAGTTGGGGCTAAAAACCACAGAGCTGAATCGAAGCCTTTTCTGCATGGTGTCTTTGCAAACATGGGAGCCCTGCAAGCAGAGAACTCCAGGTCCTGTAGGTACTTTCAGTCTAAGTGCATGGTAGGCAAGAATAACTGTCTTAGGTGATGCAGGGAGAGAGCCATGAACAGCACTAGGAGTGGTGGACATCATTTGGGGGTCTTGCCGCAGGACATCTGCTCTGCTTCACCCTCAGGGAAGACTTTGGGTTGAGGCTGGGAGGGAAGCTGTGCAGATCAAGCACAGCATCCAACTCTTAGCCTATTTCCTGGCTCCAGGAATATTTTCTCTCAGTGATTCTAGGCCCCTTCCTCTGATTGGGCAAGTGACATTCTGGGTCCAGGTCTGAGGCACAGGTGGCCCTGTGAAGAAGGCTCTGGCAGCCAGGCATGGTGGCACATGCCTGTAATCCCAGCAGGTTGGGAAGCTGAGGCAGGAGGATTGTGAGTCCAAAGCCAGCCTCAGCAACTTAGCGAGGCCCTAAGCAACTCAGTGAGACTGTTTTAGTTAGATTTTTTTTTTTTTTGGTGCTATGACTAAAAGACCTGAACAAGAACAATTGTAGAAGAGGAAACGTTTATTTGGGGGCTTCTGGCTTTAGTGGTCTCTGTCCATACATAGACAATCGGCTTCATTCTTCAGGGTTCCAGGTGAGGCAGGACATCCTGGTGGAAGAGTGTAGCAGAGGGAAGCAGCTCACTTGATGATCAGGAAGCAGAGAGAGAAGTCTCCACTTGCCAGATACAAATGTATACCTCAAAGCCACACCTCCAATGCTCACCTCCTCCAGCCACACCCTACCCACCTTCAGTTACCACTCAGTTAATCCCCATCAGTGGATTAATTCACTAATAGGGTTAACACTCTCACAACCCAATCATTTCTCCTCTGAACCCTCTTCCATTCTCTCACGTGTGAGCTATGGGGGAACAACTCACATCCAAACCATAACAGAGACCCTGTCTCTAAATAAAAAATAAAAAAGGGCTGGGGATGTGGCTCAGTGGTGACGCACCCCTGGGTTCAATCCCTAGTACCAAAGAGAGAGAGAGAGAGAAGGCCCAGGCAGCCCCTATAGCCCTACCCTCCCACTTTTTTTCCTGTCTGTTCCCTTCAGACTCTAAGCAGAATGGTGATGCCAATGCAGTGCTGTCGGACGAGGAGGGAGCTGGCCTCACCCAGCCCCTGGCCTCCGCCCCTACCCCCGAGGAGCGCCGGGCCCTGCGTCGCTCTGGCACACGGGACAGAAACAAGAAGGCAGCTGCCTGCTTCCTGCTCAGTGCTGGGGACTATGCCTGTGCCGATGGCAGTGTCCGGAAAGGTATGGTTCCCCGGGCCGGGCAGGTGGGGAGCCCCTGCAGAGCTGAGTCTCCCCATCCCTCCCCACAGAGCTTGACGTCTCCCACTCCCCTGAGCCCATGGCCACCATCTCCTCTGCCTTGGGTACGTCCCCGCTTTTAGAATGGGGTATGCTGTCTCTGGACTGGAAAGGCCCCCAGCATCCCAAAAGGGTCCACAGAGCGCCTCCGCTGCCAGAGTACCCGTGGGACAAGCAGTGCTAGAGGGTTGAGGGAACTCAGGCTCAGGGGCCCAGCCCCTTCATTTATATCACCTTTTCTGCCTTGGAGTCCTGCTTCTGCCTTCAGGCCTGGCCCAAGGGTCACTGCCAGCCTCTCCTTAGTCCTCCCTTGAACACAGCTAAGGCTTCTTCACTCAAACAGTCCCCAGAGATCCCCTCAACCTTCGAGAGTCAGATTCCAGGTCTTTGGAGAGCCCTGTACAGGCCCCATTCCTCCCATTCTTAACTGGGGCCCTGGAGCCCAGGTAGGCTGACCAACATCTGCAAGCCCCCGGGGGTGACGGTCCTCTCAAGGCAGAGCCAGAGGTGACCAGAGTGAGGTGGGCAGGGAGAGTGGTCCTGAGTGTTCTGAAAGATTTGGAGAGTTCAGGGGAGTAGCCCCTTCCTTACATGTGAAGGAAAGCCAGAATTCCATCACCAGGCCCCAGAGGCAGGACAGAAGTTGGGCTATGGAACTAGGGCTTCTGGTCCTGAAAACGGGGCTAGAGATGATTAGGGATGGGTGACAGCCAGAGGTGGCTGAGAACTAGGGGTCCTGAGATACTTCTCCTGCCCAGTTTCTGATCACTTTTTGTATTTCCTATCCCTGACCTGATCTCCCTGAAATCCTGCCTAGTTCTAGGACAGGCCCTGACTCTTCCCGCCCCAAACAAATCTCTTCCCAAATTACCTGGTCATTTCTTCAGCAGTCAGATTTCCCACCTGCTACTTCTCACTATCCCCAAACTTCAGACCCAGACTGGGTTGTGTGAGGGGGCGGGGCAGGGGCTGATGCAAAGATGACCTGTAATGCCTCTGATCCCTGGGGATGTCCCCTGGCTGCCCTGACCAGGCAGGCTCCCAGAGCACCTTCCCTGGCCCTGAGAGGTCTGTCCAGCTTTGCTGCACATGTGTCTTGGTTTGCAGAAGCAGGAGTAGCAATCTAACCTGGAAGGAGAGGGCCCAGCGGTCCCAACTAAACGATAGCAGATGGAGTGTGCCCAGACCTTGTACACCCCTGGCTATTCCCCCAGGACCCCAGTCTTCAGGCTCTGGACATGCCCTTCTCTCCTGCCTCTTCCCCCTACCATATAGTGGTTCCACCACACCCTGGTACAAACCCAGAGTCTTGCTCTAACTGGAGCCTGATGACCTAGAATGTGGGGCAGAGGGGACCATATCCCTATGGAGGACTTGAGCACACAGAGCTAAGTGCCAAGCACCCCTGCTTCCTTCCCTGTGCTCAGTGCAAGTAATGGTGTGGAAGAATCTGTGAGGGCTCAAGTCAGGAGGGACCCCGTGGTCCTGGGAGCAGCTGAATCTATGAAAGGGGGTCGCGTGCACCTGCACACAGCCGGGGAGCCTGTGTCCCACCACCCTATCTCTCTGAGGTGCCTGTGGGGCCTTGCTGCTCTATTTTCAAGATGCCTCCACACTGCTTCTTGGCAACAAGCATGTAACTCAGCCAATTAGAGTGACCTTCGAGAGGGAACAGGTGGGTTGCTGGGAAACAGGCCCTGCTAAGTGAGCGTGAGTTAACATTGCCAGACTCTCAGTGTGCACTCAACAGCTTCCCCACACTCCCATGCCATACCCTTCTGCACTCAGCTACATGTAGGACCAGGAGAGAATGGTTCCCCGCCTTCTCCAGCCACCGGCACAGACCTCATCATTAACCTGAAGCTGCCTATGTGTCGAGTGTCAGCTCCTCCAGGAGTGGTGGCGCACGCCTGTAATCCCATCAGCTTGGAAGGCTGAGGCAGGAGGATCGCAAGTTCAAGGGCAGCCCCAGCAATTTAGCAAGGTCCTAAGCAACTTAATGAGATCCTGTCTCAAAGTAAAATATGAAAAAAGGGGCTGGGGATGTGGCTTAGTGGTTAAGTGCCCCTGGGTAGAGAGAGTCAGCTTCTTGGGAGGAAGGTGGCAGGTGCTAACTGGGGCTTCTTAGGTTGGGTGCTGGAAGTTGTAGGGTCTTTGTGGAGCTGGGCTATCAAGAAACTCTTGAGGAACTTATCTGGGGACAAGATAGGATAAAGGGCAGCTGGGTGTGGGGTTCTGGAGTCTGTCTTCAGGAACCTAGGAGACCAAAAGGTCAGAGAGTCAAGAAATCCCTCCCAGGAGGGACAAATTTCTCGACCCCAGCCTAGGGCCAGCACTGGCCCTGCAGGGTCCCCTGGAGCATGGATTCCACAGACCTGCTCTGGTGAGGAGCTGCGTCCCCCTGACCCATATGCCTTTTCTTCACCAAGGCTGCGAAAAGTCCCGGAGTCTAAACAACATAGCCGGAGCGGCTGGAACCAGTCTGGGGCTGTCTCCACTGGCGTCGCGGTACAGCTCGCCCTACCCTCCGAGAAAGCTCCTGCTCTCCCACCCCTTTCACCCCCTCACCAGCCCCCCACCTGGCCACTCGGCCCCTTAGCTACACCCTTGACCTTCTTTGCTTTGGGCAGGGGAACACATACCCGAGCAGGCACACTCGTGATCCCGTTCCTCCTGGGGCCTTAGGGAGCAATGGGAGGGAACCGCCATCAGGATGGAGATTTCAGGTCCCTGAGTGTCCCTGCATAGCACTCAGCTCCCCAAAACGTTCAGCTCTGGAGCCTGACAGCAGGGGGATGGTTATTCCCAGAGCTCCTACCCTACGCCCCCCCCCCCAGTATGGTCTCCTCTGAGCCATTGAAGTGGCATATACAGGACCTGCGTCTCTGGGCCTTGCCTCTGTCTCAGCGTCCCATGGTTCAGAAGGTGGTGCACCGTGCACCTGCGACTAGCCAGCCTTGCCAGAGAGCCATGCCTACCTTAATATTTTTAATCACCACAAATGCATTTCCCATTTCTCGTGGCCTTTAACCAGTAACCAAGCAGCCTGTCTTGTCTGTCTGCCTGTCTATCTCACACCAAGACCAGCAAGGAGCCAGGCTGTCATGTGGGGCATCTCTGCTGCCCTCAAGGGGGGTCTGACTCCTTGGAAGAGCAGTGCCTACAGGCAGTGCTGCCCTGGGAGAAGAGACCTAGCGTTTCCCCTGTGGCCTGGGATGCAAGTAGGGGTTCCTAGAATCAAAGCCCCAAACTTGGCACGAGCCATGGGCCGGGTGCCTAGGTGCAGGGAGGCCTGTGCCCCGATTCAGTGGGTGACACCCAGCGGCAGCACCCGGCATCCCATCTGCATCCCGTACTGCAGCCTCTCTCTCCACACTGCTTCCTCTGCTTCCGAGACAGTTTTTCCTCCCTCTCCTGCTCTCTCAGATTCCCAGCCCTGCCTGTGAGTCACCTGCCGCTCCCACCCAGCCTCTGTGCTCTGTATTCCTGCCAGAACCAGAGACTCATCTAATTTCTATAATTAAGTGTGTTCATTTACCTAACGAGCCTGGGAGCACAACAGGTTTGTGAGTCATTGGGTGAGCAGGGGCACACCTTGCGCAGGGACAGCTGAGGGGAAGCAAGGAGACAGAAGCCATCCCACCCGCACCTGCTCGTGCCACTCCCAGGGAGGCCCACACCTGCCAACCCAGCCCTCCTCAGCCCAGGACCCAGGAACAAAGGCCTTGGCCCAGACATTTCCTGTTTCACCTGATGGGAATTAGACCTGACAGCAGAACCGTGTGCCTGGCAATTTTTAGAGTCAGATTATGCAACTTTGTGGAAGGAGTGACTAAGGAAGGTCCATATCTGTTCCCCCAGGGTGGCAAAGATAGGCTTGGCAAGACAGTTTTTGGGGACCTGGCAGGAGGCTGGGAAATCTGGGGCCACCCCAAAAAAAGGTGGCCTGGACAGGAAGATCTGATTATTTCCTGGGGTTCAGGGTACAGTCAAAACCTGTGCCAGGAGCATCCCCTTCTAAGTGCTTCCATCACCCCTGAGCAGATGTGGGATGTTCCTTTCATAAAGGTCCATTCAAGATAGAGTGGGACACTCTACCTTGGCTATGATCTGTGGGGCCTGCCTGCCATTTGCTGTCAAAATAAAGTGACCCAAACGATTTGAAAAGAGATCCTATAGGGGCATCATATATGTGACCACTCTTCAGAAGGGAACAGGCCCCTATAAGTGATGTAGACTTTAAGTGATGGGAAGCCTGTGGAGCAGGATGGAGATGCTGGCACCTTTCCCCATCACAGCCAAGTGTCAAAGTTCAGCTTCCTCATGACAGGTCCCACCCTGCCCCGCAGAGCTCCTGGCAGAGGGCTCTGGGGTGTGGCCTGACAGGGCATGATGAGCAAGGTGTCCAGTTTAGCATGGGCACCACAGCTATTTTCTCCTCTGATTTGCCGTTCTGGTTCAGGGAACTGAGGCGGCTATTTCTGTGGCAGCCCTCAAGTTGTCAGGAGCCCAAGTTTCCACGGCACCCACCGCCTCCTCCCCTCTTTCCTCCTACGGGGATGGGTATGCTCACGGCACCCCTGTGGGGGGCACAGATGTCCCTGGGCAACATGATGCAGCAGTGCCAGGCTGGAGCCCCTAGTATCTTGGGGGATGGGCTCCCACACTTCCCGCCTGGCTCTCTGGCTCGTTAGGGTAGAGACAGGACCCAGCTGGCGGGAGAGCTGTGTAGGTGTCTGCCCCCAGCTACCTCTCTCGACCTCTGGGCCTTCCTGGGTCCCTGGGAAATCGAGAAGAGCAGTGTTTATAGAGCTCCCAAGTACGCTGGGCTTTCTCCCAGGAGGCTGCCACCTGCACTGGCCTCAGGCCCTCCCAAGGCCTTGGGCTTTGCTCCTCAGGAGAAGGCCTTCTCTCACCCAGAACCTGATGGTGTAGTTTGATTTTCCTTGGACTTGCACCCATTTCTTTGACTTCTAGAAACCTTTCCCCACAGTTGGGACTTGGCCCTTTCTATAAGGCAGGGAGCAGCCCAGGCAGGAGCTTTTAGCCTCACCTTCCAGGCAGTAGCAGGATTACCGAGAACCCTAGAGGCAGCTTCTCAGCTCCAGGCTTCCGAGAGGAGTGGCTGTGAGGAGCTACCAATGGGCAAGTGACGGTTCAGCCTAAGACCAGGATTGACAGAGGCTGGAGGGGAGGAGGAAGGCCTGGGCTCCAGGGTGCGCCCCTTAGCCAGGGCTGTCCTTCACAGAGCATCTGAGAGAGAAGGGCCTCCTCTGCCCTGGCCTGAGTGTATGTCATCCTCTGAAACCCCTGACCCACCCTTGGTGGCTTATGCAGATAGATTTCACAAAAAGATTCCCGGGAAGAGGCCCTTGATGATGGAGAGCCCATGGAAGTCACTGAAAATGCCACCTAAGGCCATTCTTTCTCCAGAGCACCCAGGGACACTTCACAGCCTTGCCAGGACTCCCACCACGCCCATCCTAGACCTCATGGTTTACTAGGTATTCCCACCAGTGCATCTTAGGATCTAGAAGTCTGTGGAATCCAGAGACACTCCCCTTCCCTTAGTGAGCAGGGACCCGTGACTGGGTTTTGTGACATGCACAGATTTGTGTTAGAAATACAAGGGAAGACCACAGCCCTCTCCTTGTCCTCAGAAATGGGGCTCTGAAGGGCCTTATGTTCTCTGATTTCTTCAAGAATTATATTCAGTGGCCCGGAAACTAGTGGGCCAACAGGCTGTGTTTAAGGAGGTGGTTGAGGCCCATAATCTTAACGAGTTGGAAATGGTGTTGCTCCAAGATGAGAACACACTTTCCCCATAAAAGTAATGGCTCTCCAGTGTGGCATGGCAGCCCCCCAGGGTAGAAGCTTGTGAGGTCTGGATGCCAACTCTGATGCCTGCCCTGGACCACAGACCTAATAGTTTCAGGAATTGTCCCAGCACCAATCTGGAGGGGCTGAAACTCCCACCACACTGTTGGGCCAACCCCCCTAGCAGCTCTGCCGGTGCCATCACTAGGAGGTAGGGGAAGAGAAGGCCCAGGCCTCAGAAATCCCAGGTTGAGGGTGGGATGCCCTTAAGGGTTCTCAGAGGGGTGGGCTCTCAGATGCCACGTACTGGTCTTCCCTCTTGAGACAGGCATATGCATCCTCCCTGACCACCAACTGAGGCTGCAAGCCCTCCTTCTGCAGAGACTTGTCCTCCCATGTTGAGGACAGGAGCTGGGCATGATGTGGCTCCATATTCTAGTGCCTTACCAGCTCCTTAGGACAGTGGAATAGTCCAGGGTGGTGAGGGCAGTGCAGCTATTTGGGGGAAAGCTTAAGGGCTGGCAGTAATTGGGTCCCATGAGCCACAGGCTACATTAAGAAGCTTCGCCACTGCCTCCCTGCTAGGGTGTAGAGTTATGGTCCTTATACCGCATTGCAGCTCTGAAGACCTGAGAGCTAGTAGTTTCTGGAGCTTGGTTACCGGAGCAGATGTGGATATGCACTGCAACCCCTGGGCCCAGAGGGGTGATGAAGGGCTCACCTCATTCCTTAACCCATCCCTATGCTTTCTGGCCTCTTGGCCCGGGGTTCCCTATGCCTTCCAGCTCTGCTCCTGGCCTGCTCCTTAGCCCACAGCCTGTGGGTTAGCTGCTGGCTTTCTTCTAACATGTCACTCTTTGTTTCTCCCTTTCTTTTGCTGAACTCCTTGCCCCCAGAAGGCAATGTTGAGCCGAAAGCGTGCGTCCCAGTGTCTCACACCTGTGCTCTTTAAACACAGAGACCTGCCAAGACGCCCTCTCGTCCAACTATGCCCAGGCTGAAGTCCTCACTCTCTCTTAAAGCGGCACCAACGTGAGAGAGACAGGCAGACAGACAGAAAGCCAGAGGCTTAGGGAAACTCTGGAACCCAGGCACGAATCTTTCACTGGGAAAGACTCAGATATCCTTGTTTGCACAAGACTGGTGGAAAACCTCCCATGCGACCCTCGGGGCCCAGAGCCATCTGGGTCTGATGTTCTGTTCTACTGTACATTGAAGAGATATATATGCACATATAGTATCTATATTCATACATACTATACTCTTGTGTGTAGTGCACGTGCTATTGGTGGTCTGTCTTCTTTGTAGGCTATGTCTCCCTGAACCCTCTCCCCGCCCCAAGTTTCCTATCCTCTTTCCCGCAAAGATTCCTTGTTTCTTCTGACTGTGTGTGGGGAATGTCCCAGGAAAAGTGCACCTGAGAACCACCCATCTACCTGGGTGGTCCCAGGATACTCTCTGGGGGTGTTTACCCTGTCAACAGGTGGTCTGTTGAAGTCTGTAGGCGGCCAGACTGCCCCCCAGGGTCACTGCTCCACTAGCCCACCCCCACCCCAGGTTGGGGTTCTACCTCCCACCCCACACCCCAGTTGTGGGGGGACTTCCAGGGGCTCCTCTGCGGCCTCTTCCACTCCTTCCAACACCCCATCTGTGTCCTTGATAGAGGGGGGCATTTTGTCACTTTCATTTTTGATTTATTTGTTCTGTCTCCTTCATCCATTTGTTTTCAAAGATGCTGCTGGGCAGACGGGCAGGAAAGGGGTCTGTCTGCCCATCTGGCTCAGGGGTCTGAGAAGGGGACACCTCGGGCAAGAGGAGACCAGTTGCAATACTGTACTTCCTGGCCGGTGGCCAGAGGATGCGTGCAATAGCAGAGGCCAGGTGACCCCTTCAGCCTTGGCCTCGGCCCTCCCCCCTGCCCCTCCCTGGTGTTGGTTAAGTCCTTCTCTCAAGCTGTCTCCTCATGTGTGTCTGAGGCACGCCTAGGCCGGGCCCTGCTGCCCTGTCTGCATGCCTTCAACTGTCATGCTGTGCTCGAACCTCAATAAAGACATCCGAGTGTCCTGTTGCTCCTCTATGTGAGTGTCTGCCTCTCCTTTCTGACTCTGGGTCTGTGGGGACCTCCCTGGGCCCCCACCCACTACACCTGAAGTATGCTACACATCTGAGCATAATCCTGCCCCACCAGGGGTTCTCCATGCAGCGCAGCCAGAGGTAAAATCTCAGAGGAAAGAAATCTGCTCAAGGCCACACAAAAGGGTCTAACCCTGGACCTCTGACTTCCAGGCAGTGGTCTGATCTCTACTGCTGCCACCTGAGTCCCCCTCACAAGGAAGAAGTCTTTGTTTAGGCAGGTCCCCTCTGCTCCTGCTTGTTTGTGCCTGGGCTGCCTCTCCCTGTCATTGCACGAGTTCTAAGTGGGCCAAGGCCCTGGGGATGCTACTCATTGAGATGACTGGATGGTTAATGGACTTAAGCCAACAAGGGACCGGTAGCACTACCAGGGGCAGCCTCTGGGTAGGCAGTGAGCACACCTAGACCTGGGTAGGATGGGGGCGGGGGATGGCAAGCAATGGTTACACATGGGCCATGACTCTCACTGCTGTCCTGCACATTCATATAGGGGCACAGGCAGAGTAGCTTCATGGGCTGTAACCCTTGGAGTCACTCAGAGGGATCCCATGCTGGGTTTAATGCTCAGCTGTCACCATTGTAGGATTAATCATTGTTGAACAAGGGGTCTTATGGTTTTAGTTTGCACTGGGCTCTGCAAATTATGTACTGGGTCTGGATGCTTGTGTTTTTGTTGTTGTTGTTGATTCTATGTCTTACTCCTTACTCTCACTAGAGGCAAAAGTTGAGTCATGGGGACCTCCGTTCAGTCTTGGTCTGCCCCTTACTAGCTGGATAACTTGGGGACAATTCCCCAAGCTTCAGTTGCCCTGTCTGTAGAATGGGGACAAGAACAGCAGCTGTCTCGGGCGGCAGTGTGAGAGCCTGCCGGCCGGGTGGCATGTATCTACACACAGCAGACGGTAGACATACAATGAGTGTCAGCTCTCTTCTCACCCTTAGCCTGCAGCTCTCAAGTGTTTCTCTGCAGATTTCTGAAATCTCCATGTCCATCACACTAAGGAAGGACAAGAGCACACCCAGAGCTGGCCTCCGGGACAGCACGGAACATCAGGGTGAGGGCCCCAGGGCTGAGGGGAGGGAAGAAGCAAGGAGAAGCCGGTTCCTGAAGTGTCAGAGAAAATCAGCTGGGAGCCTGGGCTGGCAGAAGAGGTAGGGTGGTGGCAGGCAGCCAGTTGTCAATTAAAGATAAAATCTCTCCTCCAACAGTGGAGGGCAGATAGGGGCTGTGCCCCCCTCCCCTCAAAGAAAGCCATTTGCAGCCAGGCTTGCTCAGAGGAGCTTGGCCAGGCGATAATGGGATGGGATGCACTGCTGGCTCCATAATGATATTACGCATCAGGGCCCACGTCCAGAATGGCTGTTTTTTTGTTTTTGTAGATCAATGTGGAACCATTTCATGGTCAGAGACTGAGAACCCAGCAAGCAGCCCAGGGATATCATATGGCAGGGAGATCCTGAGGGGACCCAAGGGGATGCAGCTGGGGTGCATGGTGTCACCATGCACCCAGAGCCCTGGAGGAAGAGAGGGGCAGAGTGTACAGGAGGGCAGATCTGGGTGAGAGAAGCAGGAGGCCCCACCTTGCAGAGACAGCGAGCCTTGCTGTCAAGGAAGCTACTCTGAGGCAGCCGGGAGCTGGAGGGGAGCCCAAACTGGGGAACTGCTTAAGATAACAGGACACTGTGGTGATTGAGAGGGGTTTTTGAAGTCAAAAGGATTTGGGTTTGAGCCCCGGCTCCATCACTTTCTAGTTGTGATGGCACTTAACCTGTCTGAATCTCCCCTTCTCATCTTGGTGATGGGAGCAACAATGGGCTCTACCTCACTGAGCTGTCAGGAGGATGAAACAAGTTGGTGCCTGCAGAGGCTTCGGCACAGCGCCTGGCGCATAACCGTCGCTTACAAATGTGGGGGTTGGGGGTGCTGTGGAGCAACTCAGTCGAATAACATGACCATTTTGTTTTGATGCCCTCAATTTTCAAAATAGGTGCTAGGAATTAGCCTTGTTCCAGTGAAGCCCTTATCTCCATGCAAAAGAGTAAGAGTAGGGATAATTCCAAACAGCTGCCATTTATCAAGTGCATGGCAATACATTTAATGCTCATAAAAATGCATTCCAAGATTGGTGTTATCATTATCTTTGTTCCACAGAGGAGAAAACTGCAAGTCAAAAACACATAGCCCGGGCTGGGGTTGTGGCTCAGTGGTGGAGCACTTGCTTGATATGTGTGGGGTCCTGGGTTTGATTCTCAGCACCACATAAAAATAAATAAAATAAAGGTCCATCAACAATTACAAAAAAAGATTAAAAAACAAAACACCACACAGCCTGCAAGTGGCAAAGCCTGGATTCCGAGCCAAGCAGCCTTGCTCTGTGGGCCCAATGTCTAGCCCCTGTCTAAACCAAACATGGCTTAGGAGGCATTAGCCCCTAGTGTGGGAATTTGTGCTATTAAATTTTTCATTTCCTTAATCTCAGTTGATTCTTACAGTGAAAGCATTGTTTCCCCTTTATAGATAAGAAAACTAGAACTCAGGGAAAGGGGTGATTTAACTCACTCTTCCTTTTATGTGTGTGCACCCCATGACACACACATACACACGTGCCCACACACAAAGGGGTAAGGGATGTCTTCTCAGACTTCGCTAACTAGCCAGTGGGAACCTCCAGCTCAGGAAGTGACTGGTCCATTCCCTGTGCAATGCTCCGAAGTTTTATTCTCTGGCACACCGAAGAGGTGCCTGGGAGGGACTGGTCTGGGGACCAAGTTACATGAGGAAGATCTAACCTGGAGAAGATTCAGTGGAAACCTGATCTCTACTTTTCAGGTATTTGAAAGATCCTGAGAGGAAGGGGTTTCCAATGATACCTGGAAGTGTTAGGAAACACTTGCATTTGGATAAAGAAGAAACTTGTTGTTTTGTTTGCTAGTAGAAATTTAATGCACGGTATTGCAAAACATCTCATAATCAAGAGGGAAACCCCCATCCCTCTCCTCCCTCTGAAGGTAGCAACATGAACATCTGGTGTAGGTCCTCCGGGTCTTTCTGAAAAGAGACTCTTTCTAGAAAAATCACCACTCCATTCCCTGGACATGTTAAGAGACACTGGACGGTAATGTGTTGTGCCAGGGGTTCATGGGAAGAACTTCTGCTCGGCATGGAGGTTGGTTAGAAGACCTCCTCCAGTTGGAAGACTGACTCACCTGGGGCTGTGCAACCAGTTCTGTCCAGAACCCAGGGCTTGTGAGCAGGGGTCAGATCAGCTCCTTTCTCAGTGTGATTTCCTCCCAATTCCCTAACTCCAGAGCAGAATTCCCAGCAAGACTCGCTCTGCTTCTTCCCCACCCATCATGGGTATAAGGAAGGCAAAGGAACATGTAGCACGTCTTGTCTGCAGTGGGTAGGTGGACACCTGGGCTTGGGTTGTGATGTGACCCAGACTCTGCACACCTGACCCCACCCCCCTGCTCCAGGAGGCATCATTGCAGTGAACGCTTTCCTTCAGTTAGGGGCTCCCAGCCTTTGTGTGCAAACCCTGGTACCCACAATAGGTGTCAC